GCCTGACTCAACACCCCCACGACAAGCCACAGCCATTCCGGGAATTAAATTGCCACATCTTGTAAATAGAGTGAATGACAAATTTTTCTGTCAGTACCCCATGTTCACACAAAGGAATCTTGCAACTCATAGCCAGTAAGTACAAATATTTTATTCAAACTCAGATGCTGATGGGTCATGCCCAAAAGATATAGAAAACTGCGAGGACTTGCATAACCCTTGCCTTGGCTTCAACACAGTATAAGGAAAGGGGTAGTTTTTCCACAAAATCACATAATTACCGGGAAATTTCAATCTTTCACAATGCATCCTTTAGATTCTAAATGCAATTCATTTACAGTCACAATGCATAGCTGGATTTTGTGTTTTTCATTAATGTATCTCCTCCAGTTGCTTATTCTTTTGCAAAGTGCACGGACTGAATGCATATAATGGAGGTCAGGCCTGTCCACATGTTTCATTTCCAAAGTCCACCTGAATTAAATTAATTTTAGCTCATAACAGTGTAATATAACCCCTAATAGGAAAGAAACTCATACTGTCTCAATTTTCTCAAAGATGGCCCAGGGTGTCCCTCTTAAATGTTGGTTGACTTTCAGTGGACTGCATGGCATTGCATCCCAGAAGGTAGAACTCTTAATAACCACAGCTGTGAGAACCTCAAATCAATTTTAAACAAGAAATATTGACAAGTATAAAGCAGTTCTACTCCGTAATGTCTTTAGTGTGATTAGCTTTGCAATGATACTTTGCATCTGCAGTAAATTAGCATCAAGGCTAGTGTGATTCCCCCCCCCCACATCTTGCTCTCATTTTGGAGTATAGGGAAGAATAACGGAAACCTAGTTCTTCACTCTCAGTGTATATACATAGATAGTTGTTTCAACTGAAGTCTTGGAGTATCCATTTTTCAAAGTGCATAACCAGTTCAGCTTTTCAGGTAAGTGCTGTGTCAACAAGGAAGAACAACATAGAGAGGCAAAGCATTTGTTGGCATTGAAACCTTTTAATTATAGTGTTCACTGTTTGAGAACTTGGAAGTGGTATAAGCTTCTTTGCCAGTTTCTAGTACAACAGTTGTGTAATGCATTTCTGAAAGTCTAGTATCAGTATAGGAGAATTTTCTTTGGATGCTATCCACTGTCTAGATGAAAAAATGCATACATACTTTTGGAAGCTGACACAGTCTCTGTCTTGAGGTAAGACTTCCTTAGCCATTCTTTTATATATATATAATTCAATTTGGGCCCAAGTTTTTAATATGAGTGATGTTTCAAATTAAATTCACTTTGCCTTCCACATGACTTCAAGAAAACGTGCCTCTCTATGGTGTTGAGACACACTGACAGTGTACATATTAGAAGCTGTCATGCAGTGTTCAGTTGGACTCTCATGTGCAATTTCATGAGCTAACTGTAGCTTTAATATAGTAAACTTTTGATATGTGCTTAATAGCATCCATACTGTAAACAGAGCAACTAAGGTACAGTAATGTGCTTTAAGAAAATTTTACTGTCAGTTTTTATGCCTTAAAATGGAAGTCTTTCAAGAACATTTTACACTGTATGCTGTAATGTTTGTTTTATTTTGCAAGGTGACAATGATTTGTCTTTATGTTATTATGTAGACATCTTGTCATTGTATTACTGGAAAAAGTAGTGGGATTAAAAATTTGTCACGTTATTCATGCCTGCTGAAATTCAGATTTTATCTCGTACAGTAGTTGGTATAGAAAATCTAATTGGGAGATCATTGTATTGCTGAGAAGTAGCAGAATTGGCTCATTTAAATGTAAATGTAGATGGTCAATGAAGCTGGCCACTAATTATCACCTAGTAACAATGTGTGGAGTGCGTATACCTCCACTCCCTCACATGTCTTCATGGCAGGGTGCTTAGTTAAGCTCAGAGAAAACATTGCTTTTATTTATCTCACCTTAAAAAATGGCATGCGGTATAGATTCAGAAGTTTATGCCAGATTCCAGTATTTTTCTTTTTTATCCTCTTTATGGACAGTTCACTGAGGTAGTGATTGTTTTCCGCATATGCCATAAGAGATGTTACAGGTGACCGTGTAAAATGTTTCAAACTTGGCTTTCTAAGTTTGTGCTTAGTCCTTGAGCTGCATGAGTGCTTGTTAATTTAGACTCATAAACTTTCATTAATATTTGCCATTGCTTTTTGCATATTCTGTTGTTTATCCTTTTCTAGTGCAAAATGCATCTGTGATTTATATTTCTTGTTAATTTGAACTTCTTTAAAGCATATTCATCTATAATGAATACTTTTATTAATGCCTGATTACGGTAGTATATCTCAGGGATGATCCAGAATATGTTTAGTATTCATAGATAAGTAACTGCTGAATGTTTTGTTTTGTTTGTTGTTAGTATGACATGTAGTAACCACTTGGTTTGCCCCTAAATTTAGTGTGTACATAACATGATGAGGTTGGTGGCAAATGTATTCCTCATCCCAATTTTCCTAGTATACTTACAGGAAGTATCTGTCCTACCTTGTAAATACACCCATATTTACTTTAACACTTTGCGGACCCTTTAAAAGGTTTTTCGCTTTTAAACATGGCGGACCGTTCGCGTGTTAACAGGTTTTTAGAACACAATAAGTTGCAACACACTCTAAATCGCTCTGGCGCCACCTACATTGCACGCAACCGCCTGCAGATGCGTGATAAGACTCTGGAATGTTTAGTTAGCAGTCAGTTACTTGACCTCGCTGTTTACTTAACCGACTATAAAGGAAAATGCTTTGCCTTCTTCAAGCTGTGTGTATCAGCCAGTAGCTAGTGGGGAGAATGTATCAAGGACAAATTCTCCTCCGATGACCTAGCTGACCTGCCTTGTGAGACGCGTAGTAATGGATTGCCATTCAGACAGTGACAGTGACGGGTGACAACAAAGAATTGTGGCCACAGACAATAAAAGTGACAGTAGCTCCGACAATAATGCGGTTAATAACATTGCACGTAGTAACATTGCAGGGACAGCAAAATATCTAAACCCTGATTCAAAATTGAAATACAAAGCATTTCTGATGGATGTGGCAAAGGCCTGGGCTACAGTCCAGATGGTGGCGGCAGAACCAGGGTCACACAAAGACTTAGTATGACCGGGCCATCAACTCCCACCCCACGAAGGCCTCATGTGGACCCCCCAGGGCGACTCTTGAGTGATATGCGGAAAAATACCCTCGTGAAAATTGTGAAGAGTGAACATTCCAAGGGGAAGAATACTTCTAGGCAATGCCGTGTTTGCACAGTTCTCAAAAAAAAAGGAGTATGTCTACATTTGCAAGTTCTGTGTAATGCCACTTCACAAAGGGGAAAGTTTCCAGAAATATCACACCCTCAAGCACTTCTAGGAGCATTGGTAAGTGTTCTCCAAAAATTTTAGTTCAAAGAATTAATTAGGAGATTTTATATTAATTTTTAAAGTGAACAGTGCCCAAGTTAGGGTAGTATGTTTAAAAATGCCGGTCCCCAGGGTCATTTAAATCATTTAAATCACCGGTCCACAAAGTGTTAAAAAGAAGTGATTTAATTGTGCAAGAGTTTAAATGTTGTTAATAAAAGAATGATATTTTTCTTTAGGATCCAAATCATGTGACAAAAAGGACATGTGAGTGCAGTAATATGATACCCACATTTGAGAGCTTCTGTCATATTTATCCTTGCCAAAGATGAAAACAGCACATTTCTCCTCATCATTAGTATCTATCACACCATATGGAGTCACATTCCAGGAGACAGCATTTCTTATAGACACGACTGTGAGAACCTCACATTTCTGTTGTAAACTTTAATATTGTAACGTGTAGGCTGTGTGACGTGACACAAATAAATCGCGCGGGTCTTCGGATCGGAACAAATTCTTTTATTGGACGCTTATTTGCACACATGTACACTTATTCACAATTTCAGTATCACAATTACTGCTTCTGCTATAGTTGAAGTCAAACTGAAGACTGACTACTACTGACTGATCGCTTCAAAGGCCAAGCACAAACTGAACTCATCTCTTCAAAGTCAAATTTGAACACAGCTGTGATATCACAAATGTGTTGATTCCATTCGTTCTTTTTCTGTAGTAACCAACTACTTGGTAGTGTTGTGAATGAAGTGTGAGAACTAGGATTTTCAGGCTCCTCTCAAAGAAGTTACACCTTAGTGTTGAAATTCCAAGTTGTATGTAGAGCTATCAGAGTTATTTTTTCCAGCTCTTTTCCTTATTTTACAATTAGAAAACAGGGTTACATTGTCATGATGACCAAGTCTGCACAAATTCCAGGAGCCTGATTGCCATGGCACCAAAAATTTTCATGATGGTGCATGGAATTTTTTTTATTACTACTATTGCATGCAGGCAAAATAATGTTCTTCAACCCTTTTGTCTTTATCTCCTTCATATCCCCCTGATTGCTTCCCCATTCATTCTATTTACACATCCTCTCATCATTCCTCTCTCCCCTTCATGTTAACAATGGTTCATTCACTGCTCTTTTCCCTTATTGTCGTATCTCCTTTCCCATCTCTTTATGTTTCTCCATCCCATCATTTCTCTCTTCGTGTCATAGCAGTGGCAGAAAGCAACACTATTGTTAAAATCTGTATTTTGTGTTCAGTTTATTTGTGGTAATGAACCCGTTCAAGGCGGGCATGTGAAATTTTGTTGTAAAATTAACTTGTAAATTAGTCATGTGACCAGACACAAATTTGGCACACTATGGAATCTCGAGATTATATATGTTATGTTTAACTAAATTAACTTATAGATGCCTGTGTTCTAAGGAATATGAGCATCTTTAGCTTATCAGTATTTTGTTGCATGATATGGCCTGGTTTGTTGCCTCACACATTGTTCTCATCCCTGAGCTCTGCTACTGAATTCAGATATGTAGTGTGATGGTAATAACAGCAAGGTCCAGTGTTTCTCTGCATGCACTTGTTTGTTCATTGTATTATGTTGCAATGTTTCATTCAGGCAAGAGACCAAGTACGACATATTCGCAGCACCTGCAGCAGAAAGTGGCCTCTATGATGGAACGTACGTAACTGGTTTTATTTTAGCTTAGTGAGGTACTGCAGCATGGTTAGGTTGGTTGATATCTGAGGTAAAGTGTACAATATTTAGTTCATGTTACATATCACATACACAGCTTGAGTATTGTGGTTAAATTGAATTTCTGTGATCATAGTTAAATTTTGAACAAAAAGTACAAAAAAAAACTCCGTGATTTTAGTCCGGAAGCAAACTATACCTACCGAGTGACCGCCGCTTGTCGGCAAAGTTTAGTGCGAACATTTGTGGATATAGGATGTCACGCGGTCAGTGCAAAGAATCCCGGTTTTCTAGACCGGAGCCGTTATTTCCATGAAATAGCTCCTCTGTGGTCTAGTGGTCAGCATTCCTGGCTACAGATCCAGAGGTCCGGGTTTGATTCCCGCCGCTATCAGATTTTCTCTGAGAAGTAGTGGGTCTGGAATGGGGTCCACTCAGCCTCATGATGATAATTGAGGAACAAAAAGTACAGATGATTAAAAGCGTATCCTTATTCTGTTTCCATTAAAGAATTTGGGTATGACAGTGTGGACCGATGTGGTTCAGGATAGGGTCCAGTGGAGGGCCATTTTTGTATAGCTTCTATAAAAGGCAGGGAATTTCTTATCCAGCTGAGTGGCCAGCTGCTTGTCAAGGACATGGATTTAATTTTTTCTGCACCCCCCCCTCCCCCCCCCATGGTTCGCCATCTTGCAGTTGGAGAGTTCAGTAGCCCCAGTGATCCTAGGTGGCCATGCCAGTGAAGCTTGAATAAAGGCTTTCTGCATGCCAGCTGGTAAAAGGAAAAGGACAAAGCTTAGGTGAACCTAGGAGATAACTAAAAAAAATAAATTGCCTTAGTCATGGAAAAGGTAATTTCTGGGATTTTTACCCTGAAATCAAATCCCCGATCCTTTAGGTTAGCAGTGTACAGTGGGAAAGTGATATGGAACAGTGAATGTATTTAGNGGTCAGCATTCCTGGCTACAGATCCAGAGGTCCGGGTTTGATTCCCGCCGCTATCAGATTTTCTCTGAGAAGTAGTGGGTCTGGAATGGGGTCCACTCAGCCTCATGATGATAATTGAGGAACAAAAAGTACAGATGATTAAAAGCGTATCCTTATTCTGTTTCCATTAAAGAATTTGGGTATGACAGTGTGGACCGATGTGGTTCAGGATAGGGTCCAGTGGAGGGCCATTTTTGTATAGCTTCTATAAAAGGCAGGGAATTTCTTATCCAGCTGAGTGGCCAGCTGCTTGTCAAGGACATGGATTTAATTTTTTCTGCACCCCCCCCTCCCCCCCCCATGGTTCGCCATCTTGCAGTTGGAGAGTTCAGTAGCCCCAGTGATCCTAGGTGGCCATGCCAGTGAAGCTTGAATAAAGGCTTTCTGCATGCCAGCTGGTAAAAGGAAAAGGACAAAGCTTAGGTGAACCTAGGAGATAACTAAAAAAAATAAATTGCCTTAGTCATGGAAAAGGTAATTTCTGGGATTTTTACCCTGAAATCAAATCCCCGATCCTTTAGGTTAGCAGTGTACAGTGGGAAAGTGATATGGAACAGTGAATGTATTTAGAGCTAACTAACATCATGGAGCTGAGCCCTTTTTGAGAAACCACCGATTGTTGCAGCTACTCAAGAACTTCCCAGCATTTATGGAACCCAACTGTTTTCACAAGAGCTCTCCACTGGTCCCCTACCCCAAGCCAATCCATACCACCCCATCCTATCTCTCTAAGATCCATTTCAATATTGTCCACCCACCTATATCTTGGTCTTCCTAGTGGTCTCTTTCCTTCTGGCTTTCCCACCAATATCCTGTATGCATTCGTCTTCACCCCATTCATGCTACATGCCCTGTCCATCCCATCCTCCTTGACTTGAACATTCTAACTATGTTTGGTGAAGAGTGCAAGTTATGAAGCTTCTCAAACACCCTCAGTCTATGTTTCTCCCATAATGTCAGAGACCAAGTTTCACACGCGTACAAAACCACAGGCAAAATTATAGTTTTGTGTGTATTTAGAAGTAGGTACTTGGAATGGAGGAATCTATCTACCAAAGAATAGTTTTCCTGACCTAAATTGTTACCATTTCTTCCTTTATTTTTCTGATGAGTAGTTCAGAGAAGTAAACTACCAACACAGAAGTTATAGGTTGCATTCAAGAATTCAGAATGGATGAATAGACCAGTGTAATATTCAAGCTGAATTGTGATATAAAGCAGCACATGTTTGATAGCAGGTCTGTAGTTGTGTATCTTCAGGTCATATAGAGAATGTTAGGAATGCTGCAAGTTGCATAATGTTACTGCATTTTCAGCATTGTGTTGTTATATTGAAAACTGTTGAAATGCCATAGGTACATGTGTCATTTTGTGGTATATGTTCTTTGCACAAAGAGTATAAATTTGAAAATGGGAAGGACGTGGTTTGACCATCTGCCTGCATGTTTTATCTCTGAAACTACTGAATGAATTTAGTAGAAGAAAAATGGTTTTCGTTCACAGTTGTTCGATGAATTTAATTTTGGTTAAGCCAGTCAAATATAACTTCTTGAACTCAATTCTCTTTGAAAACATTTTATTTGCTGGAAATTGGTACATGACACATATCAGTTATTTTATAAACGTTTGGATATTTAACAAAATATAAGGACAGTTTCTGACCTTGTAGTCTGATTCATCAAATGTTATTACCCATGTTGCAGTAGATTTTTACCTGCAGTAAATGAACATAGAAATCAGACAGCTGTGAAATAGCAAGGAGGAGATTTGAAAAATGTTTGTTACCCCATTGGAGAATATCTTTCTGCTCTTGCTTGTTCAGTTTTTAATCTCATTACATTTGAAGTCCAGTCATATAACTGAGGTTCAGATCATATCTGTAATATTTTATATTTTAATGTATGGCACATCCCTCCAGCTTTGTGATGATGCAGGAGGACCATACAACTTAACAAAGCCATAAATATGGTAACAGTTACTTTCTGAGTAACTGCAAACTAAATTCAGTTTGAGGATCATGTGAACAAGGAGTGAACTTGTATACTTCAGCCAACAAAGTGACATTTTACTGCATAGACAGTGTAATTCCTGGAAGGGATGGCATGTTTTTCATTTTGCCACCTTATCCAGTCTGGCTGTGAGATCTGCATAAGCTTGCATTCATTGAGTTCTAGGAATTTTTGCATAAGGTAAAATGATGAGACTGTGAAGCTGATCAACTCACATTGATCTAGTGTTGGGGTGTATAGGGCATGGAGCATTTACCTCTATGCCCTCTGCTTGCCATGCTGCTTAGGCATGGGTAGCTTTTAAATTCAGATGGAATAATTTATTATCCATTACCAGAATGTAAGTTCATTTACTTATGTAAGCCATAAGGCATTTTATACGTATCTACCATAGTGTAAGTGTATATGGCATGAAAATCTGTGTAATATGGGTGTTTTGGGCTTCAGAATTTTGCCACTGGCTTTGCATAGTTAAAGGAACTTAAGTACAGTCTGACTGTAATGAGATGTTTCTATAAAGGCCACATTAAATGAGTTATAGGGTATTCATGAAATGGCTTCTTTATTTCCTAATGTGTATGACTCAAAGGAATGCTTTAAGTATCATGCTGAGTGGGTACATTAAGTTTTTTAACTTCATGAAAGATGTTTTTTGTGTTGTAGTTAGTAAGTGGGTAATACAAAGTATACAGTATGATTGCCTCACAAATACTTCTAAGCATGGTACTTCATGTCCCTGTGCTCTTGTCAGTAGATTGTTGAGGTTTCATTGGCCATTGACTGGACCAGGCATTTGAATTATTTAGAGGAGTGAGGCAGTTGATGCAATGAACTGAACAGAAGCAGTGGAAATTCACACTTTATTTTTCTTCAGTTTGAACTTAAATACAAGGTATGTCCCAAAAGTCATGAAATATATTTCTTTCCCGCACTCCTACTTGTTGGAGCGCACTGGAACCGGTTGGGTTAGGGGGAGGAGGCCTTTAACTTCACAGTGCGTGACTCATGTGCGTGATTTGTTGAATACTGACCCCAAGGACAGACCATCAACGCTCCCTACTACGTGGATGTTCTAGAAAGATTAAGGAAAAGGGTCATCTGCGTGAGAAAAGACATCGCCGCTAACTGGCGGCTGCATCATGACAATGCACCCAGCCACCCGTCTCTGCTCGTCCATGAGTTCCTGGCGAAGCACCTCGTGGCAACGATGCTGCATCCACCCTACAGCCCCGAGCTAGATCCGGCCGACTTCTTTTTGTTCCCAAAGATCAAGACTGCACACAAAGGACGCCTTTTTGAAAGCATTCAGGCTATCCAAGCAGCCGTGACAACAGCTTTAAATGAGGTTCCCGTCGAGGCCTTTGAGGGGGCGTACCGGGCATGGGAGAGTCGGTGGAAAAAATGTGTAGATGCCCATGGACAGTACTTTGAAGAATATTAACACTTTGTACCGATATCATCAATAAATTTAAAATATATATTGTAACGTGTTTCGTTACTGAAGACGCCGTAGAGATGGTTAATTGGTTTATTTAACAATCTACAAATAACGGCTATAATTAATGATCACAATATTACGGGTTTCCACACTTTACAAACCCTACAACAAAGTCTCTTAACACGATCTTCACTTGTCTTCACGTACTAATAACGTGGGAGCTATACAAGTCTCCCTGAAATACACACTCCAAGTACAACTGTACTACAGCACTCACTATGTCTTGAAAGCACACAATACGTCTTCCGCTCGCTGACTTCTTAGTTATCGCTCACTCGCAGGCTGCTATGTTTCAACTGAACTGTGAATAGCCTTCGCTGCTCCCTATGTAGCCTCGATCGGACAATACGGCCACGTAATAGGCACCCTTGTTGCTATGTCGCTGTGTTGCTATGTAACGCTAGCGGGGGTCACCGCTGTTACTATCGTAACGTCGCCGCTGTTGATTCGCGTTGCCTAGCGACCGCGATATCCCTCGGTGACGTCACCGCGGAGGGGAGTGGCGGGGCGGGAACTCGCCTATTACGCGAGCGTTACGTTACCGCTGGGGACTTTCATGACTTTTGGGACACACCCTGTAGATCGAGTAACGTTCCCACCTCATGACTCAAGGTACGCGGGTTCAAACCCGGCGGAGGTCATGGAATTTTTAAGGGCGGAAAAATTCAGGGAACAAGTCCTCCGGGAGGGACTTTAAGCCGTATGTCCCGTGTCATAGATTTACAGCACGTAAAAGAACCTCGTGTCTCTAGGAGACCTCTGAGCTAAATTAGGCAACAATTTCCTGCCCAAGTAGTTTTCAATGCCTCTGGTAGATGGGGGAAGTATCAAGGTACTGAGGGCCAACCTCATTGGCCCAACGGGTCTGATAGCACGCACCAGTACCGGTAGGGTATGGAGACTGGTAGAATATCAAAGGGGGACGTACAATAGATCAACAACTGGTCACGGTGCATGGGGAAACCCACCCCCTCCAATAATAATAATAAATAGATCAAGGTTGAGTCAATTGAGCAATGTGTTACAAATTTACTCTGGCTGGCGGTGCTTGTGAATATATTCTGAGTTGAGGGTTACTATGCTACTTTGAATATTTCATAATTCCTGGATAAGAATATACAGGTTTTGCCTTTCAATGACTAAAAATTGCTGCCAACTGAAGCGCTGTGGTTCTTATTTATATCCTTCATGATATGGCTGCATGGGTTGGTGCAGCACTGATGCTGTAGACTTGTATTCAGGAGGTGCTTGGCCAGGACACCAGCTATCTTGACTAGGTTCTCGTGATTCTCCTCATCCCCCGAAGCAAATTCCATGACAACACCTCAATTATGACATTATGGCTTCTTTCTAAATCCTTTCCAGTTCATCAGTCATCATACCATTCAATGCTATAGATACTGATGCCATCATAAAGTAACACAGAGGATCTGTCAACTGAAAGGATCCTGATATCCTTCGTTATTACCAGTGACCATCAAATCAGACTCAAATTATTACTTTTTATTTCTCTTAAAAATAACTTTGCCAACATCCGTCTCGGTGAGATGTTCTTAACACACTGGTTGATGACTGAATAACATGGCAAAGTAAATTTAGAAAACTTGCAAAATATACAGTAGAACTTGGTTATAACGTCATCAAAGGGACCTAAAAATAGTGTCGTTATAAACGAATGTCGTTGTAACCGAAATGGGCACTTCCACAGTAGCCTTATGTTAGTCATGTAAAAATCTACCAAAAACCGAGTTAAAATGTTGCATTTTTTAGTGAAATACGTAGTTAAGTACAGACTAACGTAANCCATATCAGATAAATTCAGGAATGAAAATGACGTTACATACGAGGTTGATGCATTTGTGCATGTCGTACTAAGCAAGGTATAAAAACAGTTGCTTTATGAGGAATTAGTTCGTACCATTGAATATTTGACGCAATAGACAAGGTGTCACAGAAACCGATGTTGCTATAACCAAGTTTTACTGTATATATCACAGAAGCCATAAGAATATGTGAATGTTATAGACAAAAATAATTTAATAATTTATAATTGAACCAAATATATGATTGATTCTGTTAAGTACCAACTGCACGGATAACTGTGCTATAGACTATGCGTGAGAATTAGGTTTGAGGCTTCTGCACTCGTGTGATTGAGACTCAGAGTAGTTGAGTCACATTTAGTTAAATTAAGTTTAAAATCCAGTGGCAAATAGGTAGTGTCATTTTTTAACTGCTAGACATGTTTTCTCAGAATAACACGCTGCTTTGTTCTCATGTCATTGTTACTGGAAAAACAGTAAGCCGTGTACTATGTGCTAAATAAGAGACTAAGATGTTTTATAGTAATTAAAGACCAAAACAGTGTTTGACCAAGAATTTGAACACTACTAAGAAATATACTTGCCACACTGATGCAGTGCAGAGACAGTCTTTCAAAATTGATTATGTAATACAGACCAACTAAAACAATGAATAACATGACAAGTTGAAAGTCACTGTGCAGTGTATTCAGTTCTATGAAAAACTAATTACATTTTTTAATTGCTTATGTCTGTAAACTTGGATATTCAGATTAGAGAAACTGATGATAATATTGTCTTTGTGGCACTTACATAAATACTTGTCTGAAAAGATATGCATGTGTGTACATCTGCATGTTGGTGTGCTTTTTTGACAGCAAATTATTTCTCTTTGCTTTACTAGTGATACACTACACTAGTGTAGTGATACACCATTCATGCTCGGGGTGTAATATGGTGGTTTCATATATTGGTAATTGTTCTTCTTCTGTTGAATATCTGAAGGTAACTTAATATATCATTTTTCTTCATATTATCTACTAATGCTTAAGTTATTCATTGTATACAATTTGATTTTACACAATAACTTATGTTGTTTCCAAATATTCTGAAACATCTTTCATGATCCTTGGAATTGGATAAGAAGAATGTACTGTGCATTTTTATTAACACTGCCTAACATGAAATACGCTCTTTTCTGTGGGAACTGCTTAATTGTATATGTCATGTGTCTGCCACTTGCAGGTAATCAGTGCACATTTGTGGTGATTTGTCAGTAGTCATTGGGTCTATGAATATTGTTCATGTCTGCATTATGGTTGTATGCAGGTTTCCAAATCCAAATTCAGAGATGTACTGTGTATCACCATGGACGCTTTTATCATCTTTTTTATTTTCTGGCCTACAAGTAATTCTTGAGTATTTTAAATTTATGTAAACTTGCTATTAACAGTTGAGGTTTGTATGATACCTGATAGGAAAAAGCATGGAGCAGCTATGTTCTTTGCTAGTATGTTGAAAAGTAGAAAGCCTGTTTTTCTTTCTTGCAGTTTCATATTCTGGGGGGAGATGTCTAGGATTTGAATGTTACATATGTCTAATTCCCAGTTTGCACATAGATGTGGCAAGTTATTGGGAAAAATCATATTCCTATTTGACAGTTTTTGTTCAAAATTAATGTCTCTCGAAATTTTGAATTCTGATTTGAAGGTTACAGCTACTTGTGATTATTCATTAGCTCAGAACTGATTGGTATAAATTTCTGATGCAGATGAGGCTGATATGGACAGGGTGTTCAAGCTCCCATCTACAACGTTTATTGGTGGTAAAGAAAAAGCTCTGTCATTACGTGAGATCTTACGGCGACTTGAGACAGCATACTGTCGCCACATTGGATGTGAGTTCATGTTTATCAACTCACTTGAACAGTGCAACTGGATCAGACAGAAGCTTGAAAGCCCTGGCATCATGGAGATGGATCATGATGAGAAGCGGCTGATTCTTGCACGTCTTACAAGAGCCACAGGGTGAGCAGAGAGCAGAAAAATACAATTTTTAGACTGCTTTCTTCTTTTTTTAAGAAATGATAAGGAATGTGTATACTGTAATATGGTGTGTGTCCTCCTATCTGAGTGTATGCTTCCCCTAATATTTTTTAACCAGTTCTGAGATATTCTTGAAAATTGGTGTAAATATCATACCAGTTGAGGGTACCAAACATTTATGCTTTATTTCCTACTTCCTGAATATCAACTTGGCAGCTCAGTCAACTTCTCGGGCGGAAGTAATGTGCATTGTAGTGTCCTGAATTGTTGTCTGCTAATACCTGTTCAGACTATGTGCAACATGGATTAAGGTGAATTTTTCTGGAGTGTAGAATATTGTGACTACATGAAATATATATTTCACTCTGATGGTGATAACTTACGAATTACTGAAGCTAGTGTTCTCTTTGGATACAGATTATAAACATGCTTGCAAATTTTGTACAGAACATGAATGTAAATATGGTATGTGAAACTTGGTAATAGTATGTGACAAATTTAATTTTTACTAGCAGAAGTTATATACAGGAGTGAATATCTAAATTATACAATTATTAATAGTTCCTGCAAGCCTCACCATATGGGTTGAAGCAGTGAAGGAATATAGGTGTCATAAGTTCTTGCCAAAATTTTTATTGTAGATGAACATCCTATTGATACTGCATCAACCATATAGACAGAATTACATGGTGATGTGTTTTTATGAAAACATCTTCAGACCCTTTTGTGATATGTAAACATCTGAACTATAAAGAGATAATGTTGAATTAAATGTGTTTCAATCCCTCCCCCCCCCCTTAAAATGGTGGATCCACATATTTTCTTTTAAATATTTTATTATTAAAATGTTTATAATTCTTCATTTAAAGTAGTGATAAAGTAAAAAAAAAAAAGTAAATAAAGCTATCCCTGTACCAGGCCGTGAAGGCCCATAGGGTTATGAGACGTTGAGGGTCCCACATTATCTAGACAATTGGCTCAAAGATGGCGGTAAGGTTGTCAAACTTACATGCCAGCTGCACTTTACTCCCCAGGAAAATTATTTAATTAATTTGTGGTACTCATTTGTGTTAGAGGCTGAGTAAACCCCAGGGCCTAGTGTGGCTGGAAGGATTAGGTCAAGAGAAAAAAATCCAATGACCTCATTGGGACTTGAACCCATGACCTTCCGGCTTGTAGCATAGCCCCTCAACCAACTACGCTACCGCGTGCCCCATTTAAAGTATTGTGGCTGTATGCAGCCTGCCAGATTACTTGATGTGCCCGCAAGTGAAGTCTACTGATGAGAAACTAAAACCATGGATTACATAAGTATAGTGTATTTACATAATGAATACATAACATTTCAGAAGTTCAATCTTCTTCCATCATCAGGTGTAAGTGGGGTGAGAGATCCTACTCAGTTGTGCCTGTTAGATGTAGCTAGTCTTGATTGCTTGGCCGTGAAGGAAGTTATAAGTGACATGTATATTTCGATACCATGAGATGTCATCTGCAGAAGATAGAAATATGAACAGTAATCAGATAATAAGCGGCATCTGTGCATGAGCTGAGAACATGGATAGTTGCTAATCAAAAAACTACTTCCTGTCTTGCAAGATACTGAAGTCTGCACATGGTTGGCTGATCATGCATTCTCCTATTTTGATGAAAACTGACCCATTTATTTTTCTGATGATACTGTCTTCTTCTTTGTGTATTATTTTCATTTTGTTTCATTGCATTCTGTGCTCCTCATCCTAGGGGTGTTCTGATATATTTGCGGTGGTCTGCCTGGCTGTCCTACATACCTCTTTCCACATTCGTATGGGAAGTGATATTTTAAACCCCAAAATAACTCTAATGTATATCGGAATAGATATTTTGTTGGCAGGTAATAATGTCATTTAATATTCCATTATTGCAGTGCTTATTTTGATATATGTATCAGCAGTTCTTGATATGCTTTGTGTGAACTTGGTCACTTCAAGATGCTAGAATCGTTCCTCTGTTGCTAGGTTGAAGTGAGATGATATTTATTCTGATGGTGGTTTGGACTGACCATATGTTTCTTCAATTAACATGATATTGGTTTAAAAATGGATTTTGCCTGTTTCACCAGTATTTGGCCAAGCTCAGATAGGATGATTGTGCAGTAACATCATTCTAAACACTGTATTAGCAATAAGCCTAAGGCTTTCATTCTTTGTGTTTAATGTGTAACATTAGCTTTCTGAGTTTATCTTCATTATATTGTGACATGTTGCGCAACGGAGAACCCCTCCCTACCCAGCAGCAACGTGGCAACTCAGGCCACAGTGATGTGGCGGATGAGTCAGCGCTCCCCTCGCCCCCCTTCCGCACGGTAACGTAACGCGCAACGCGTGGTGACATAAGACGGCGTGAGGTAACAGCGTTGGTACGTAACAGGCACACACAGCCACTATATAAGAGAGCTGCGCTGCCTGCGAGGAGTTGTTGTAATGTGGCCATCGCCGAGTTCAATTCCGAGTTAGTTCCAGACGGAAAAGGTGAAAACCAAGGGCGTCATCGGAGGGTGTAGCTCAGGACAGCGATCGCACCAAGAAGGGAGAATTTGTAAGAAGACCATCTACGAGATTGTCAGCATGACGTCGAGTTGTTTTTGGTTGATGTCTAATTTTGTCAGGAAATCTTCTCTGTCTTTTTTTTCGGTTGGCTTCCATTCTGTCTTCCATCCGCACTCGGTCGGCATCTGCTCTTACTTGGTTTGCCCTCATCTCCTTCAGCATTTCTTCCTTCTCGATTTTTCTACCGGCCTCTGCCTTCGCCAGCATTTCGATTATTCGCTGCATCTCCATTTTGTAGCAGTGAAATACTCGATGCACAATAATTCAATTATTTGTCGAGGCGTGTTCAAGTTCGTAAAACAATTCTGACACCAATGTCACGTGTCTTGAGTTCGAATCTCGTCGGTCACGTGTGTAAGTCCAAATCCCACTTCTGACACCAGTGTAGCGTGTTTCGTTACTGAAGACGCCGTTCGGATTGTTAACTGGTTTATTCAACAACCTACAAGTAACGGCTACAATTAATTATCACACAGTTGCGGGGTTTCACACTTTATAACCCTAATCACAATAATCTGTTGACACTGTTGTGGGGTTTCACGATTTATAACCCTATTCGCAAATCAGTTCGCTCTGTCTTCAGTAGTCTACACGTTTACAGTAGGGGAGCTATGTATCACTGTATCACACACTCCCAATTACACAATTACACTCACGTCCGGTTCTTCTTTCCGCGACGGCTGCTATACTCCAACTGTAGTCTGCTGACTTGAGGACTGTTGATAACACACTTGCTCGTAGGCTTGCTCGGAACTAACTCGGAACTGAATTCGGCGATGGCCACATTACAACAACTCCTTGCAGGCAGCGCAGCTCTCTTATATAGTGGCTGTGTGTGCCTGTTACGTACCAACGCTGTTACCTCACACTGTCTTACATCACCGCGCGTTGCGCGTTACGTTACCGTGCGGAGGGGGGGAGGGGTGCGCTGACTCATCCGCCACGTCACTGTGGCCTGAGTTGCCACGTTGCTGCTGGGTAGGGAGGGGTTCTCCGTTGCGCAACATGTCACACTGCTCCCTCCTTAAGGGTGTTCATCCCGAATAGCCTAACGGTGCAACCCCGTTCCTTTGCTTCGGAGGCTGTTCTTGCAGCATCTGTTCTCTGGCCGTTACAACCGCTCCCTTCTTAAGACCAACTCGCCTCGAGCGGTTTCCTTTCAGCTCGCCAGAAGATCCAGTTGTATCCCATTCATCCATCGCTTTCTCCCACGGCACATTCACTCTCTCTGGGGAGGCCGGTTCATCTACATTACCGGTTCCTCCTCTGCTTGAAGTCTCTTTTTCCGTTTTGGAGGGGGTCGTCCCCTCCATAAGGTCCAGTCCAAGTTTATGTCTTCCATGAGAAGTTCCTTATGTTGACGTAACAGCCCTTGATGCGTTGTTTGCACTTGCTGACGTCGTTCCTCCTGGTCCTCCAGCCACTTGCTGGCACGGAACCGTGGCGCCAAGTCCTTTCTCCGGCATCCGAAGGTTCCCTGGGGAGTTTCCTTCTTGAAATCGTTTCTCCAACGTCGTGCCACTGTCGCGCGACGGGATATCTTCCTGCAGATGGCAGCCAACTTTATCCGGGACGCATGATCTCATCGGGTCCAAAATTTCCTGAAGATGTTTCCCCGGCGCCATGACACTCTTGCATGGCGGGACACCTTCCTGCTGACGACGGCCAATTCATTCTGGGATCCGCAATTTTCCCGTGTCGGATTCTTCTTATTTCGTCGCTGATGTCGGTCCCTGCGCCTTTTCTTCTTCGGTTCTCTGACCGGCATTACTTCGGCGTCTTGTACAGGTACCTCTCGTAGTTCTGCCGCTTCAGGTGTCATGTCCACTGAGGCTGGCTCTTCTTCTTCTAGACGTGTCTCCATCTCTTGGCAGGCCATCGTCTCTCCGACCGGTATTATTTCGGGGACCTCTTCTTTTTGTGCCGTTCTTGCTTGGCAGGCCAACGTCTCATTGTCTTCGTTAGGAATCGACTGTCGGTTAACTACAACCGCTTTTCCTCTTGGATTTTTCTCCGTTACATCCTTGCAGGCTGTCGTCTCTTCCTGCCAGGCATTGAAGTCGGCGTCTAATTTTGTCAGCATGACGTTGATTTGTTTTTGGTTGACGTCTAATTTTGTCAGGAAATCTTCTCTGTTTTTTTTTCGGTTGGCTTCCATTCTGTCTTCCATCCGCACTCGGTCGGCATCTGCTCTTACTTGGTTTGCCCTCATCTCCTTCAGCATTTCTTCCTTCTCGATTTTTCTACCGGCCTCTGCCTTCGCCAGCATTTCGATTATTCGCTGCATCTCCATTTTGTAGCAGTGAAATACTCGATGCACAATAATTCAATTATTTGTCGAGGCGTGTTCAAGTTCGTAAAACAATTCTGACACCAATGTCACGTGTCTTGAGTTCGAATCTCGTCGGTCACGTGTGTAAGTCCAAATCCCACTTCTGACAGCAGTGTAGCGGGAGCTATACAAGTCTCCCTGAATTACACACTCCAAATACACTCGGTTATCACGAACTATCACTGATTCTCGGACACGCGTCTGTAACTCGTAACTTGCGAACTGGGAACTGTTGATAACACACTCGCTCGTAGGCTTGCTCGGAACTGAACTCGGCGATGGTCACATTACAACTACTACTCGCAGGCAGCGCAGCTCTCATATATAGTGGCTGTGTGTGCCTGTTACGTACCAACGCTGTTACCTCATGCCGTCTTACGTCACCGCGCGTTGCGTTACCATGCGGAGGGGGGGAGGGGTGCACTGACTCATCCGCCACGTCACTGTGGCCTGAGTTGCCACGTTGCTGCTGGGTAGGGAGGGGTTCTCCGTTGCGCAACATGTCACAATATATTGAAGGTGTTCCAACATTTTGGTATACATTGCAGTCACCAGTGAATTCATTTCTCACATTGAACCCTATTTGTGTATTGCTCCACTTCCTTTTCTGCCTCAGTCACTCTGAAGATGACAGCTACAGTCTGTGCTGAAACATTCAAGCAGCTTTAGCATACAGTGTTGCTAAACCACGAAAGTCAAAAGTTTCACAGCTCATGAATGTTGTTGAGTTCCATTGAAAGTTTAATCTTGGTTGTATCACTGTTGGTTCATATTGTTACTGCTAAGTGATAAATATATGTGTGAGTGTGTGTTTCCTGAGATGAATTGAAGGAGGTTAAGTAGAAACCTGCCAGCAGGCACTTACCAGAGTTAATGGCTCACCTGAAGACTTACTGGAGGTCGGAGCTGATAGAAATCTACCAGGAAATGAATACTGAAACACAAGATTAAATAGGAATGTGTCCAAGGTGTACATACCCTCGTATTGTGTCATCCAGTCTCAGATAGAACCTATAGGAAACTGATAGCAGTAGGACACTTAAGTGCAGCAGCTTGTAGCTGACTGAACTGTGTAATTCTACGCAAAGTCGTTAAACTTTCAGGGACACTGTGGGTTTCATGTGTCACTGATTATAGTAACTCTGTATCTAGAACAAAAAGATCTCCAGCATTTGTCCTCTGGTAGGTTTCCATTGAACTTTGAGACAGACATCACGTATGGGAAAGGACATCAGTGTACAAAATTTCACCTTTGTTAGCATAGAAGATTTTGTATCTAACTCCTTAAAATTGTATGTGAAATATATTTGTACATGTTCAGGTTTGAAAGCTTTCTTGCCCGGAAGTGGTCTAGTGAGAAGAGGTTTGGCCTTGAAGGATGTGAGATCCTGATCCCGGCCATGAAACAAGTGATTGACAAGTCAACAGAACTTGGGGTGGAGTCTATTGTGATGGGTATGCCTCATCGTGGCCGTCTCAATGTGTTGGCCAACGTATGCCGTAAACCTCTGGAGCAGATCTTCACACAGTTTGCTGCCTTGGAAGCTGCTGATGATGTGAGTGCTGGATTTTTATTGCCCTGTATCCTGTTCATGGTCTTCCTTTTGAGAAAATCGATGAATTCACTTCAGATATTTATATGTACCAACTCATTTTAGGAAAGGGATGTATTTCTTAAAAGTCCTTAAGTGAAAAAGTCTTTGGAAGTGTTTGTTTATTATGGTGTGACTGGCAGTTGGAAACCATGTGAAGGGCCGCATGTATTTGAGATGCATCTCTTGGAAATATCCAATGCTGTGAGTGTGGTGTGTAATAAATAACACCTGGCATCTGTCTGAAGAGGAAGCAGGTAGCACTGGAGTCTTATGGCTTGGTGTGTTTTCATCATATGGAGAATAATTTGTTACACATATTGAAAGGGTATATTATTTTTTAAAATATGGTAATGTAAAATTTGTTTATTGAATGTTTGTTAAATGAGGAGTTGGTGTATTTGTGGATTAGAAATGAGATGCTGATTTCATTGCTGCACACAAGTCATCAGTAAATTAGTGTGCTTATGTGTAGCATAACTTACTCATTGGCGTTACTCTTAGGAATATTTGGCAGTCTGTTTTAAAAATACAGTAAAATCATGTTATAAATTTCCTGCAAACCATGTGTATTTGTAGGTTAAACTTGTCTTGTTCTTTTGTCTCCAATCTAAGAAAGGCATTCTGTTGAACAAGGTTTTCCTCATTTTTATGCATTGTTCAGTGCATGAATGAATGAGTGAATGCATGCATACATAAGAGGTGGGTCTAAACTGGCCCTTGCACCATGACCTTCAGTGATTTATTATGCATCCCCCTTTATTTCAACCCCTCAACAATCCTGCTTTACGAATCAAGTGCAGTGTTTTAATTACAGGGGTGTCTTGGTAGTCACGTAGCTGCATAAATTAATGGCCCACGTAACGAAATCGTGAGTAAACTACTGCCTCACAGTCACATAGAATGTGTGTGGCTGATTCACCTTTTTCGGGGCAAGTTTATAATCACCTGACTCCATTAGATGATGAAATCTTAACTAAACTACAGCCTCACAGTCACCCATAAGATATGTGTGGCTGATTCATCTGTTACTAGACACCTGTCACAAATGGAACTGTTCTTCAGTCCCATTTTGAAGATGTGTCCTTTCAGGTGGCAGTGACCTGCAGGTAGTCCTGTTATCCACCATAAATGGTTTCTGTTTTTCAAACCCTGGCAGCCTTCTTGGCAATTCCTCCTAAAATGCCAAAAGCTGGTTTAAGTTCTATTTATGCATTCTTTTTACAAGGTGCCTAAAATGATTACATGATGGAGTTGCCATGTCTGTCCATATATTTCAGCTCCAGAACCACTGAATGTATTGTGATATATTCAGGGGGTTTACATTAAAATTTGTGGGGCAAATTTAATTTTGGTTTGTGTTGGTCAGATGTACTGTATGACTGGCAGCTTCTTAAGGAGGGCTGAGCTGCATGAAGTTAGTCAGATGTAACCCCCATCTTTACATGAAGCTGAAATTGGAACGTTCTTTAATAGATCATCCTACAGAAAATCAATACAAGGCATAAAATGTAGATACACTATGCTCTACAAAATTTATATGAAGCATCTTCCAGTATGAGGAATATTTATTGAAAGACAAGGAAAAATAACTTCTGAATATGACCATTTAAGGCAGTGAAGTATGCAGAACAAAGAAATAAAGAGATACTTGTAAAATAATTCTCATTGACATACACCTACCTACTCCTGTTTAATTTGAAATTGCTGAGGCACAACTGGATGGAATTGTTCAGACTGGAAAAGGTCATGATATAAGTTGGGAGGTTAGCACAAGCATGGAAGATGGAGTTTGTTCTGTTGTTTAATAACAAACATATTGCATAATTTTGCTTTATTCCACTAGTATTCGTACGTACCTTGACTGAACCACCATCTTCATTCACTGCAGGGAATCAATAAGACGTGCTGTGTCATGTCCCCAGTCAGTAACAATTGTTGTTCAGTTCATTGTTTATTTAATGATGCTGTTAGTACCTCAGTTATATAGCATTTCTTCAGAATTACTGTAAAAGTAATGTATCTAAATGATGTGTGTTTGAGGATCCATCTTTTCTTTATTTCCTTCCTTCCATCCTTTATTCTTCCTTCTCTCCCCCCGTTTGTATTCCAAAGTGTGTCGTTAGAAACGGAAAAGGTATGCACTCATTCATCCTATACTAAGTCTAGTATAGTAGAACTTAAATATCCCCTTCAATGCTTGATACCCAGAAATGCAGTGTTTAAGGTAATTTAAATTATCATCTGATAAAATATTGTCATTTTGTGGTTTTACAGGGTTCAGGTGACGTGAAATACCATTTGGGGACATACATTGAACGCTTGAATCGTGTAACCAATAAGAACATTAGACTGGCTGTAGTTGCCAACCCCTCGCATCTTGAAGCAGTGGATCCAGTTGTTCAGGGCAAGACACGAGCAGAACAGTTCTACCGAGGAGATGGTGAAGGCAAGAAGGTGAGTCGTCACAGCTTTCACACGATTAAAGTTATGAATGTAGCATACTTAAAAATTATAACTGTGCTTTGATTGAACCTGAAGATTTGTTGCCTGGTTTACAAAAGCCCACCATTGTACCGCACACTGCATCAGTATAGGGTGGCGGTGGTAGCAAAAGCAGTAGCAGCAGCAATAACAGTAGCGCTGAAGATTTTTAATTTGATGGAACTTCAGCTGTAACTACATTTTTTAGTTTTACTTTTGTTATCTAAAATTGTTATTTTGTATTTGTGTCTTTTCATGGGGTAATTAATGTATTGTCACATAGTATGGAGTGATTAGAGATGGGGTTTTGGATAAATGGATTAATTGACCACTTACAGGTCATAACTACAAATATCTATAGCACTGTTGCTGTTTTTCACACTTTATGAATCACTACACGATAAGTCTTCTCCAGCCTACAGTGTCTTCAATAGATGTTTCCTGGTTATGGATTTTAACATTGTCTGCTTACATCCTTATCATCTGGCACACATCATGTAACTGAACTAAGCTCTAAACTTGTAACATTGATAACCCTTTGGCACGGACCACATAGAGAACAGCTCTTCTTTCGTACATGCATGTTTACTGCACTGTTGCATAGCAACGGTCACAGCATGGACCACAGAAGACACCACTTCCAGCAGTTCCTCAGTTGTGTGTTGATTCATTGCCACGGGAACATGTTTACTGAGCCGTTGCCTAGAAACAGCTCTACACACTGCAGTATTTTCAGTTTTAATACCTCATAAAGGATTAATTTATTTGTAGTAAATAAACACATGTAGATATGCTAGTAATAGTATGGAGTCAGTTATTTATACTACATAAAGTATGACAGTAGTGGTCCTAGGAAAGTCCACTACTGATTTACTAGCCCTTGAAGCTGACAGTGTTGGAACCTGCTAGGCTACTACATAATTCAGTTACATAATCAGACATTTGAACAATAGAAGTTATAAGTCCAGATCATGGTGATTTGGGAAATACTAGCACTAAATTAATTATTGTTCAGTAGCAAATCAATATCTCTGAATTACATGTTGACTCCTTATACTAACCCTTTGGAATAAGTGGACCACAGTAATAAGGAGCACTTCAGCAAACAGTGTTGAATTGTTTTAGGTCATGTCTCTGCTCCTTCATGGTGATGCAGCATTTTGTGGGCAAGGAATTGTGTATGAAACTTTCCATCTGTCTGATCTCCCTGACTACACAACACATGGAACTGTTCATATTGTTGTTAACAACCAGATTGGATTCACCACTGATCCAAGACATTCAAGATCATCACCATACTGTACTGGTAAGTGGTTCGCATAAAATTGTGCTACCATTGGCCAGTGAGAGGAGGGTTCCATTAGTTCCACATGTATATGTATGAATTTTACAAATAAATACATGTTTTTATGTACTGTATTCACTTTGCATGTGGGCAAATATTGTAGATTTTGTCAAACAGCTTTTCAAGTGTGTTCTATTTCTGGAGCCTAGTTGATACATTGTAATTATATGAATCATAACTGTAAGTATTGTGAGATTAAGAAATATGGAATGCAGAGATATAGTGTGTTCCTCTTCCAGATGTAGCCCGTGTAGTGAACGCTCCAATATTCCATGTAAATTCTGATGATCCTGAATCTGTGATGCACGTATGTAAGATCGCTGCTGAATGGAGGGCTACTTTCCACAAGGATGTTGTAATTGACATTGTAAGTTTTTAAATTACACATTCTTGAATTTATGGTTTTACATAATTTTAGTTAAAGGCTGCACTAGAACGACATACAGAATGAGGTAGGTATGTTCCTTGTACATGAAGAAAATCACAGAATATAGAGAAAGGTGGAAAAATACATCTGCAAAGGATGGAACACTCACATTCCACTTCAAGCTTATAAATATGCCTTGTCTGGTAGACAAGACATGTTAAGGAGGAGGTTGAAGGTGCTGTACTAATATTAGAGGCTGAAACAGGTGAGTGACCCAATCCATGAAGTGCTCCCGTCACTGATGTTGAGGGTGGTGATGATGTAGTGTTAGCAATTTTATGTGCAATCCCCAGAATTACTGATCAGGTTTATATATTTTGTTCTGGGAATTTACAGTAGAAGTTATCTGGGGAATTCAATTTGTGTTCATATCTATGCAGCATTATCCGTACTTTACAAGACATATAGACGAATTTTATAATTTTCCTAAAAAATTCATCATACAAAATAATATATATCAAATGAAACAGATCTGATTAAGATCCACAGTGTTTTGGATATGTTGCAATATATTTTGTGTCGTGTGATTTAGACATGCAAAATCATGATTACATTTAGAAAGTGTGTTATGCCTTTATATTCCTAAAAGAATTGTTATTGAGGTGCACAGAAATTTACAAATTCCATATGCAGTTACAGGATAATTATATATCTGTTTACTGGACATTCTGATTATTTGAAATCTGTTTTGAGTATTTTCTTCAAATATTATTTGCTTTAATTGGATCTACCCTTCACTTGTTTATTTATAATACATCAAAGCTTAAAAATATTATATTTCAGTGCTATTAATTCTGAGGGTCATCTTCTTTTTAATTTAACACAGCATTTTAAGTGAAGGACAAGACACGCGCTTGCCAGATTAAGGAATTTTCCATGGAAGGAGAACCCTTTGAACATAACATTACTTTTAATGGTTTTACACACATACAGCTATTTGTAATACATCAACATTCAATGTTGGAAGGTATTTTCAGAATCCGTTATTTTTTTATTATTATAGGTGTGCTACCGACGCAATGGCCACAATGAAATCGATGAACCTATGTTCACTCAGCCTCTAATGTACCGTAAGATAAAGAACACACCACATGTTTTGGATAAATATGCTGAAAAGCTGATCCAAGAAGGCGTTGTTACACCAGAAGAGGTTAAGGTGAGGAGGATGAAATATGCTAAAAGTGAACAATGAGCAGAGCAGAACATTTAACTTTCACATCAGAACTTTGTGGCTAGGGCAGTAATAGGATATCACAGAAATGTTGTTGTTCTGGAATCACAGCAGGTTTAAATTCAGGCTGTGTTTGCTACAACTAATTTCAGAATATTTTAACTTCCAACGCCATGTTAGAAAGATAAATACATGCAAACCAAACAGGAAGGTCTGGCAGTTATCCTTTAGACTTAAATTCAGGATGTGGTTGATTTGAAACTCAGCCATGACATCAACTGTCCTGGCTGAGGTTTCTGTATTTTTCCTCACTCCTTTCAGGCAAATGTTAGTGTAGTAGTTCAGTTAGTCCATGATTCCTTAGTTCCGTGTGCTTTCCAGTTAATCTTTCATCTTTCACTGTACCATTCAACATTGTATTCAGCACCATTGAAAGCACTGTAAAACAACCCACTAATGACATTATATATATATATATATATGGCACTTGTTTTCAAACTTTAAGGCGGTATGGATTGAAGGTGAGACAAAGTCCAAAGGAGACAAAGTTAGAGCTAAAAGGGGAGGGGAGAATTCAGAAGTAGAAGATGAGCTCTGTGTAAGACCTAAGTAGATATTTTGCAGGAGCCAAAAGTGATAAATTCTTCTCAGGCAACCAGCCACATCAGTTTGGAGCAGAAGTCGTTGTGCTCCATATTATTGTTAGAGGAATCATATCAAGAGCAACAAGGTCAGTGGACATGGGGGAGATGAAAAATGTATACAGAATTTATGTCAGAATACCTGAATGGAAGAGCACTTTGGAGACCTAGGTATAGATGGAAGAAGAATATAAAAAAAATGGATTTTATAAAAATATTATATGAATTGCAGACTGAACTGAACTGGCTCAGGATATGGTAATGAACCTTCAGGTACCATAAAGGCAAGGAATTTCTTGATCACCTGAGCTGCTCGGAAGACACTGTACCAGTTTCTTATAGCTAATAAGAGCAAGATGCGAGACAAAAGGTTTTCAAACTTTGTGATACCTTGGCCCTCTAAAGTAATGCATAAATTTATGTGACTCTCACCCCATCTCTGCCAGTCAGTAGAAGGTGCAGCTCTTCACATTGTTGCAGGCCCGTATCAGCAGGAACCTAAGTAGTTTTACATCCTCTACATCTACAGTAAGCTATAAAATGTTCCTGTAGTCTCAAAATATTCCTCTGTTTACGCAGTGGACGTGTTCTAAAACACATCATGTAAATTAAAAGCGCTTAAATCAAGGGCTTATTTTTTTGAATGAAGGAAGAAATTGGGACATTTTATGCATTGACCAAGCCAACCCAGAGAGTTACAGATCCCTGTTTATGTAAAGTGTTTTGTGAAGTTTTAAATTTAATTTAAACATGATTTTATTTCAGATTTTATAGGCATGTTAAATGTAAGGTAAAAGCTAAGGCAGTACAGAAATTTTGTGTGTTTATTTTAACCCGTTGCCGTGGTTCGACGTGTATGTTTCGTCAGGGATTTAAATCGTCTGGGGGGGTTCGACGTGTATGTTTCGTCCAGCTGCACACCTACGTTATAACGCCCATAATAATTGATGGTTTTGCTGTAGATTGTTAGATTTTTCGCTGGCCTGTTGTCAGTAGAACAGAGTATAAATAAGACACGACTTTATCTGCGCCAAGTCATCGTTACATAT